TTGATATGTTTTTTTTTTTTTTACATTTTTCATTTGTTATTTTTGAAAAAGTATGAACAAATAGGATTGCGATGGTGATTGCATAATTATTGAAAAAAAAAAATTGAAAAAAAAACCGATTTATGAAATATGAAATAAGATCATAATGAAAAGGGAGTTAATGAGAAAATAAAAAAGAAAAAAAAATTCATTAAATAGAATTAACCGATTAACCGATAAGAGAGGAGGAGGAAGAGGAGGAGGAGGAGGATAATTCGTAGAGTCACACAATTCTGCCATTCTCAAGTACGGTTATAGAACCCAAAACAACGAGGCTTGAATGTAATTCCGTTAGCAGGGAGCATGCAAGCAAGCAAGCAAGCAAGCAAGCAAGCAAAGCCCTTTTCCTTTTCCCCTTCCACTCCGTTCTCTTCCTTCTCCTATTTCACTCGTACCACCACACCTATCATTTCTCCTTCTCTTCCCATTCGTGCTCTTCTAACGACGATGCCGTTCCTGATAGCCGAAGGGTTGCGTGCAATTATGTAATGCAATTTAAGTGCCAACGTAGCCCGCATCAAAGCCAAATTTACTACCGGATTTACGTCAGTTATGTTCCTCGACGAGCTGGATATGATGTTACTATATATATATATATATGTATTTATGTATATATGTATTTATGTATATAGATAAGTATACATATATTGTACATACTGTATTCTCTTCAGTAACCACGAATCAAGTATTATATTCTCTCCCTTATTACGATTTTCACCTAGCCTATTATGAGTTTTAGTAAAGCTCCAATAAATGTTCATTTAAATAAAATGATTATTTTTTTTTTTTATAAATTATAGTAAATATTATATTATTTTATATACATTATAAATTATTTTATAAATTATATTAAATATACTTTTTGTGTCTTACTATTCTTTTTTTTTTTTTTGTTAATTAGCAAAATTTAAAATTGTATTATTTATAAAGAGAATTAGATAGAGAGAGAGAGAGAGATAAAGTAATAACTTTGAGCATGTAAATTAAATAAAGTAAGTATAATAAAATATAATTTAATAATATATATAAAGATATATCTAGCAATATATCTATCTATAGATCTTTCTATCTTTATTTAATCTTCTGTATCCAAGTGTCAAGTGGAAATATTTCGGGACTCGAACAATGAATCTTCTTTCCTTCTCCTTCTCCTTCTCCACCTCCTTTCTTTCTCTTCTTTTTTACTTCTTCATCTCACCTTCATATTTATTTTAAAATTGACATAATATATTTTACACAAACTCGAATGGGGAACTGAGGTAGGTCGTGACCCAATAGCACAGATTTTTCATGGTTAACGTTTGATATTTGTTAACTCAGTCAGTTTGATCGGCTTGTTCGTCCACCAGTCGCCATTTTTCCTGCCCATTGGGGTTATCTTGATAAATTTCTATCAGTTATTTCTCTCGTTTTGTTAAAAATATCAAATCTTTCCTTAAAACTATATAAATCCTTTATAAATCTTGTAATATTAGAAATAAAATATTCAAACAAATTGCATTATAATTAGAATTATTATATAATACATCTTTATATGTACAAATTCAGTGTCACATTATTAGTTTCCAATGAACTTTGAAACTACTGAAAAGATCTTCATGAAATTATTTTTCATTTTGCGTGATTTTGTTCAACTTAATACATAGAATAGTTTTTATCGAAATTATTTTACATTTTTTATTGCTAATTTAAAGGATTTATTATTTGGAGGTTATCTGCGTCTTTAAGGTTCTGTAAGTTTTCACTAGATGATGCTGTATTACAATTCAATTATTTCACTTTTTTTTGCAGATTTACATATGACATACCAAACCCTTTTTATATTCTTTCGTGCATTATTATTTTATGTATTTCATACTAATTATGGTATTATTCTGCATAAATAAATATGTAATAATATATATAATATAATATATTATATTTATTACAAATGTTACGTTGTTTAATTCAAATTACCAAAAATTATTAATCAATATTAATTTAACTGTATTTAAATAATTTATAGAATTATATTAAAAATCAACGTTTTATAATAAAACCATACCAACGCGTGACCAACAGATCATCCTAGTAATTTAAATATAGTTAAACAAGGAATACAAATGTATAAAAAAAAAGAGGGATGATAGAAGGCCGGAGGAGTTTGGAATAGAAACATTGAGATAGGATGAAATTTGATTTATTCCAGAAGGATTCTAATAATAAATGTCGTATCTCTTTGCTCCAACTACACTACCTGTTAACTATACACATATACATACATATATATTTATTAAACGTACTATGTATATATATATCTGTATGTATGTATGTATGTATGTATATGTATGCGCACAGGACTGCTCGAAAACTCCTCGACCCAATTAACTCGTCGTTTGATCTCAAGATTCGAAGCATCCTCTGATTGCGCGCCTCCTGCTCTGCGAAATATGTACACGTTTAAGGGCGTGACGTGATCAAGGCAAATTCATCCTCTCTTCGCAAACGAAGATAACTTGAATATCTACACACACACATACACACATACATATATATATACATATATTTTTAAATACTTTTACAAAATCCTCAACCTATACTAAGTAAATCGTTACATCATTGTACAGAAAAAGGATACCCTATGGAGGGTAGAGGTAAAGAGAATCATCTATATATGTAAAAAATGTCCGTCGAAATGGATTAACCCTTTCGCTACTACGGACCACTATAGTGGCCCTACATAAAATACCGCGTATTTTACATAGGACGAACAAATGCAGTTATAGCACTAAGTCAAATATCCCACTGTGGACATGTAATTTTAGTGTTTTGTTTATTTTGATTAAAAATCGTTAATATCAACAAGAAAATTGCTTTAAAATCAAGTGCAATTTCGATGCTGCACATATTAATAGCCCTTACAATAGAAGTAGCATCGCGGAAAATATTGCCCGTTGCGATAAGGTTAAATTAGGGTGGCGCCACATTAGCATCAGGGTAAATTTTAAAGGAAGCGCCAAGTATTATTAAAGTAGGATTGAGAAATAAACAAGGAATACAAATTTTACCCCCATAACTGTTTTGTTATTATTCACATACTTTTTCATCAAATTAATTGATAAAAAATGAATAAACGTACTATACACAGTTGACGAAATAAAATCACTTTAGTTACACGTTTTCTCATAATAATTCTTTAAGGTTATGTTTTACTACATTATTACATAACTCGGCATACTTCAATTCGTTTACAATTGCTACATTCATACCATATCTTCTATCTACACCAGCGCCATTCTGGAAGGTTTTTAAACTACGTGTCACGTTGTTTGTTCGCAATGGGGACTCCTAAACTACTGAACCGATTTCTGAAAATTGATTATACACGAATACCAAAATAGAAAAGCATTTTCTTTTTTTTTTTTATTTTTTTCAAAAATACACCGTTCTCTTTTTCTTTTTTTTCTTTTTATCTTACTCGTGTCGCCTTCTTGTGATTGGTGGAAAGGTTTTTTTTAAAGGAAATAATGCAACTGGTACGACACACTATACCGGGGGTCATGAATAGATGAGAAGAAGATAGAATTGAAAAGTTTGGTGACCTAAAGGACCGACCATCTATTATATGGTGTCCATAAATCCCTTGACTTTTTGGCTATTAGAGTAGCTTCTTTTGAGTGTCAACAATTTTCACTTTACAAGCGAAATAAATTGACAACGATGAAAGCCAACAAGAGAACAAGTATGTGAACTAAATCTTCATTTACTTTTCTTTCGTAAAAAAACAATTTTTTTTTTTAAAGACCTTTATTGCAAATATTAAGATAAAGAAAAATTTCAATTAAAAATTCAAAATAAACTATGAGAAAAAATCATTGCAAGATAATATAATTAATTTATTGTTAAAGTGTATAGCACGATTCGTTAATACTTGTTACAATTTTGATTGTTTTTTTTTTTTTTTTAGTTTTAGATAATTATAAAGAAAAAAATATCGTTTCTAATTTATGGTTGTATATAATTTATTTAAAAAAAAAAAAAAACAAACAAACAAATTTCATTTATAACAATTTCTTTTTTCTATGCAAATTTTCCTTTACATTTTTTAATATTATTACTATTATATATATATATATTAAATAGAATAATTAAATAAATAGTATATAATTTATTTACAATCAAAATTAATTTATATAATAAATAGGATATAAAAATAATTGCTCATATACGATCAATGTCATATTAATTAATACTTAAAAACAAATGAGAAAATTTGTTGATCTTACATTTTAAACTGAACACATCTTGTTGTCCACCATGTAACAAAAAATGAATGAATGAAAAAGAAAAAGAAAAAGAAAAATAAAAAAAAAGGAAAAGTTTAGAAGACGAAACCGACCCGTTAGAAAACTAGAGCGGAAAATACCATTGGTGTCTCCGTGGATGACGGTATAATTATTCCTCTCGCATATTACTACGATGCACCTCGCACACGGATCGATATTCTATTCCTAAACTTCGGCCGTATGTGTTGCCACCTTGCTTACTTGCATCTCTCTTTCTCATTCTCTCTGATTCGAAAGTAGGTCAAACGGTAAGAGGCCGCAAGCTTGCACTCTTATTACTACTCAAGGACCATGTCGAACGGGTTTATCGTTCAAAACTTATATATCTTCCATTTCACCGTTTTTATTTATCTAATTGTAAACCCATTCTTTCTTCACAACTTGTCTTTCATTTTGAATTTTTTCTTTTTTCTCATCAAAGAATAATTCAATGAAAAATATCAAAAAAAAAAACACAAAAAAAAAAAACGATGCATATGTTGTGTTGTTACACGTTTTACGAATAATTTGTCTGATGATGATGATGATGATGATGATGATGATTTTTTTTTTCCATTTTCTTTTACAATAATTTTACAAACATGATTTTCTATTAGATAGAAATATTGAAGAAAATTCTTCATCCATTTTTATCAGGCAACCGTCACCGAGTTCCGGTACAACGGTAACATCGACGATCTCGTCGTCGAATGGTGGTGGCGAGGGCGATGGCAATCAAGTGATCGGCATGTATGCTGTTGGTACAAACGTTCCAACGTCTACGGAGACGTCAACGGTAACACCTGTAACGACAGCATCATCATCATCATCATCATCGATTCCGATGACCGGAAATAGTACAGTTATGGGTACTCTTCATTCAGCAAGTAATATTACCAGAAGTATGTCTGCACCAACTGCTTCAAGGCCGCACGTTCAAATTACTAGTTCTGCTAGCATTTCTGCTGGAAATTCTCAAAGACCAAGACTTCGAAGGAACATGAGCCGAACTGAAGCTATTCGAAAGTATGTACTATCTTATTATTTCAATAATCTTCTTCTTCTTATTATTATTATTATTATTATTATTATTATTATTATTAATCTTATAATTAAATCAACTTTTTCATCTACGTTAACGTAGATATGAAATGATGATATAATTTATCTCTCCTTTTTTATTTTATATTACTTTTTTGTTAATCTACTTTCATTAAATACACATACATTATATTATTTCTGTTCGTATAATTGTTCAAATTCGTTGCATCGATTTTACGAGCATGTAACGCTCATGTGTGTCTACGGTCCTACATTCTTTTCGTTCGTTTGAATAAAATTTGTAAACTCGTATTAAAAAAAAAAAAAAAAATAATAAATTATAAGAATATAAAAGACGTGAAATGAAATTTCTCGGGGGAAAAAAAAAAAAAAAAAAAAAAGAGTAGAAGAAAATTAAATTTTATTCATTCTTGCGTATTATTAAGATACGTTTTTTAATTCATTGAAAAATGTATTTTCATTTTAACATTTAATTTTACAAAATAAATATATATATATATATATATATATATACGCTCTTTTGTATTTTTAATCGCATTTTTATTACGTGCAATAACGTTTAATATTCTTATCGTAACGAGAATCAAAAAAAAAAAAATGAATTAAAAAATTCTACAAAATGAAGACATTCTCAAAATTCGTTTTACTTCTCTCTCTTTCTCTTTCTCTTTCTCTCATTCTCTAATTTTATTCTCATTTATATGACTTGACAGTTACATCAAGCGCGAAACCGCACAATTCTTTGGCGTTGACGAAGAAACCGAGACCGCGGAAAAGCAGAGATGGTTGGATCGACGACGACGAATGGCAACAAAGTTCACTGGTCTGGTACCGGAACATAGACCACCGGATCCAGATATTACGAGGGACGTACCGGATACCACGGACATACCCGAGGTGAGTTCGCTTTCCAAAATTCACCGAAAATTGTCAACATTCGCGGGATAAACGGAAAGATACGAGAGAAATCTGTAACGCGTGAACATTCTAATCCGATTATTAGTATATACGTCCTTTTCTCTATTCCAATTAAATTTATCAAAATTCATATATATGTGAATTATAAAATATAATTAATTATATGGTAATATTAATTATTAATTATTTTATTAAAATTATTTATTATATATTAAAAATAATATAATATTAATAATATATTTTTATATTATATTATTATTATATATATATATTTTTTTTTCATGAATTTTCTCGAATAATATTGTATATTATATATACAATATGAATATATGCAAGAGTATTAATTACGACGCCTGTAGATTGGCAACATTCCATACATCGTTGATAAATAACACGCGTTAGCAACGTTACCGACGTTGTATGGAGTGTTGCCTATTTGCAGGCGTTCTTTCAGATTTATTAATAAATTAGCCATTTATTTTAAAAGTAACCTAACTCCATTTTTCAAAAAAAAAAAAAAATACGAGTTAATTACCTTTATAGTTAAATATTTTACATGATCTTTTCATTATCATGCAATTTATTATTAATATATTTAATAGATTTATTTTAAAATTCGTACAAATTATAACAGCAGAATTCAAATATCATGATTTCTTTAAATCCCTTTAACATATACAAAATGTAGATGAACAGTAAATTGTTTTTATCTTTTAAAGTTGAAATCAGAAGGTTTTAATGTTACATTCTCTTTATTAGGAATATTATTACCATTGTACGCATGCGTAACATTCGGAAAGTCATATAAATAACATTTTAATAGAAGTATTTTGATTGAGGACAACGTGCCAGTCTGAAGGTGAATTTCGAAGAGGACGGTACTTCGATCATATACTTGGTATCTTTAAACAACAATACATCTTCCTTTCACTTAATTAACAATTATTTTAGTATTCTAATACATTCTACTTATATTACAGTACTAATTTAACACTCGTAGTTATTACTATGCAAAAGTGATAAAATAATTACATTAGATTGAGAGAATAAATGTTTTAATTTAATTTGTAAATTTGTTCGTAATTATATCAATACATTTAATATTGAAATAAATATGTACTTTCGTATTTATATTAATTAAATCGACATATTTGTGAATGTAGAAATAATAGTAAATAATTTGAAAACAATGCTAATACGATATATGACAAATCGTTTTTTCTTTTTTTTTTGTTCAGGGTGTGACGTTGAGACGATGGCAACAACCAGTAAGAAGGAAAGACTCTGTTGCAAGGATGACACTGTCAGGTCTTCACTACGTAGTAGAGGTAAGTCTTGTTAAATTGCTATTGACATTTATCGATTAGATATACTCTACCTATCCAATACAATTTTAAAACATCTCAAGTACATTGATCTTCATTCACGAAAAAAACAAAATACTTTACAAATCTTCTTAAACTTATTGTTCTTGTACTTTTTTTTTTCTTTTTAGTTTTATCATTTATAATTTAAAAAAAAAAACAATTGGTTGTTCGAAAATTGATTAGAAAAAATTGAACGATAATAATACTTTCGAAATCATATTTTCAGATAACTTTAACATTCGTTGATTATAATAAAACGTTGAAATGTTTTTAAATTAGAAAATAGAATTCAATAGAACGACGAATTTGAAACAAATGGATAATTTTTGTATACAAAAAGTTCAGTGTTACATTGATTTTTTATATTTTTTCGTGTATTATTATTTTATGTATTCCATTGTAATTGTAATATTATTTTACGTGTTTTTATTTATATATTATATATCATATTTATATTACAAATTTTATGTTATTTAAATATAAAAAAAAAAGACAAACCAATGCAAAAGTTGAATAACACGATAGAAAAGATTATTTTCTTGTTTGATTTTTTTTTTTTCTATTTATTTTTAAAAGTAGTAAAAGTGGTATCTATCTATCGATTGAAAAAAGAATTTCAATCGGAAGAATGTTAAAAGTGCTGCTGTTACGTGTAAAGGAAGAAGAAACGTGTCGAAGTGTTTTACTGGCTTAAAAGATAAAGAGACAGAAAGAGAGAGAGAGAGAGAGAGAATATAAAGAAGAAAAAGAAGAGAAAAGATTTCTCTTTAAAGTTCTGACTATTTCAAATCAATATCCGGATCGTTGATCCGTAACGAAAGATAAAAATGTCACAGAGGTTATCTCTTTAAATCGGATATTGAATGATCCGTGGGACTTACGATTCGAACGAGTTAAATACGAAAAATATCCATGCTTGATATTTACTGAATATTACTCAAAAAAAAAAAAAAAAAAAAAGAAAGAAAAAGACTGAGAGAAACAGGACAGATGTGAGTCATTTACGGAATCATTTAATAACATTTCCATAATATCTTCACGGCCCATTAAAGTTTGAAGATTTTCACTTTTATAGATATATATATATTTAAAAAAGAAGCATCACGATTTTTTTTAACCCCCTCTTAAAGATCCACCTTTTCTTTCCCTTAAACCCCCCCCTCCCTCCCCCAGCCCCGTCTTCTTTATTTTTTTTCTTTTTTTTCTTTTCTATCCAACGCACCACCAATCGTTATCCTTCGATCCATTTAAAATACGTTTTACACGGTATTATGGAAATTTTCCTTAATGGATTTTTTCATTCAACATTTTCTTTTTTTTTTCTAACAGATCCTTGCTCCTTAAGATCCCTTCTTTCTTTTCCTCCCTCCCCCCCCCTTCTCCCACGTTTGTCTCCCCTTTTCTTTTTCATTCTTCCCACTCCTAGCATCACGTCAGTCAACCCTCTTCTTTTAAGGGAACGAAGACGGCTTAAAGTACTTTGTGGTTGTCCCTTAGAAATAATCGAGATTCCACTCGATCTTGGTTTGATCGATAAGTGGTGGTGTAATTTTTTTGAATGACAACTAAAACGTTATACTAATGATCTTATTTTGTTTAAGGATTAAAGTAATTGGAAATTTGGGTTTAATGTTTATTAGAAGTATGATAAATATTGTTAGTTTGATTGGAGTATAATGTAAAAGTTTGATTAAAATCAAATTTATTACTTATTTTTTTTTAATTTTTTTTTTTTTTTTTAAAGATTAAATTCATTCATTTACGATGATTTATTATTGCAAAGGAAACATAATTATTTTTTGGATAGTATTTATTTTATTTTAAATAAAAATTTGGAAATATATCATCACATTAAAAGGAAATATCGAATTAGTTGAAAAATCGTTAACGACAGAACGACGACAAATAAACTTTGCAAATTTCATTGTACGTTTACGCGTGTATAATATTACATACTTATGAATATAGAAATATTTTACAAAGTATAGTTATATAAAGTCGTATATGATCTTTATTATACTCGAGTTGAAAGTTGAAAGTTGAAACTAGTGCTTGTAAAACGGAACACAGTGGGTTTACACCAGACCAGACTCTCTCGTTAGTTTAATGATCGTTCAGACACTTTCGTACGTACGTGTAACTAAAGGTTCAAGGCGACTTAAAACTACAAACCGACATACTCAGACGGATAACATCGGCTCGAGTGATCAGAGAACGTTGATTAGCCTAAGTCAGATTCTCTCATACGGTTCCATTTCAAGTCATTATACAAGATCCTTACAAAGTATATCCGGATTTGAAACGTCAAACGTTTTGCTTTTATTCAAATATCCGAGATCATTTTATTTCTATGCTAGAATATTCCGGCCACACTGTAGTTTTGTTATAAAAAAAAAAACAAAAAAAACAAACCCTTGATTTTGTAATATAATTGTCAATTATTTCATGCAGTCAAATATTAATATTCATTCATTCATTAACACTTCTGGGAACTCAAATTAACGTTTTTAAAATTTTGTTTATTATCATTGAAATAAATTTATTCTTAAAAAAAAAAAAAAAAAAAATTTCCACAACTATGTAACTATCGTTTTATTTTTTGTTCATTTTTTTTTTTTTCGTTTCTACACTTTGTTAGTTTTTTCTTTTTTATGATTTGATTTTTTTTTCTTTTTTTACGACAACAGACTATTAAGAAGAAGTACAGTTAGTTGGGGTACCGGAAAAATGAGAAAACGAGAAAGGGAATGAGTGAAAAAAAAAGGGGTGTTAAGGGAGAAAAGAGAGGGTGAGGGTGAGGGTGAGGGTAGTACGGGTTAAACGTATCACAACGCCACGGTTAATCCTCGAAAAAGGAAGAAAAAAAAAAAACACACGAACATGACCAATTTTTCATAGCGTATCGACGCGTCGAACGGGTTCCATCGAATTTACCACCACCATTCACCAACAACAACACCATCAACAACCAACGTTACCATGCCATCACTATCACCCTATCACCCCATCACTATCACCACCACCACCACCACCACCACTACCATACACCAATGAGATTCGTAATTTCTTTTTTAGCCGCCATTGTAACGCTAGGTTGTTTCATTCGCGAAATTTTTCCCGACAGTGAAAAATTGTCTCTCTCTCTCTCTCTCTTTCTCTCTCTTTTTCTCTCTTTTCCTCGAAATGTGCCTCGGGCATAGGAACTCGTTTCAGTTTTGTTGGTTTTTCGCCAGTTTTCCAGGAGAATGGGTAACGTCGAAGTGGCCAGAAACGTAACGAAAAGCAGCCGTGAGCCAAAAGCACCGTAAAATCCCCGAGATTCTTCGATTTTCGCCATTTTATATCCCCGACCGGGCTATCGATTTTTGCCATGAAAATTTATCCCTTCTACGAAATGTATATATATATACTGTGTATACTGTATATATGTCGAATTTTATAGGGTTCCGTTGTTAAATCGCAATAGACATTTCTTTATTTTAATCGATAAAACTATATCACACTTTTTTCCAACATTATAAACTTTATTTATTTTAAATATAGAATAATAATAATAATAATATATTATTAATATTTATACAAAATCTTAAACAATTAACCAAAATTATTTTTAGTTAGTTGTTTGTTTAGATATATACATAGTGTGTATGTGTATCTTTTTTATATAATATCTTTTCAATGTGTTTCTGTTTCTAGTTTTTTTATTTTTTTTTATTTTCTTTCTCTTTTTTACTTTTATTATTTTTATTTTTTTATTTTCTTTGCGTTGGAAAATAACTTTGAACGATTGCATAAAAATAATCGAAATTATTTCTTTTATATCGTATCGAAATTATTATCACATTTATTATTATACTTCATCGTTATTATTTTATTCAAAATAATTCTCAACGAATGATAGAAAGAGAGAGAGAGATGATCATTAATTTTACAATATTATTTATATATTAATTAATCTTTAAAAATTAAACCCCCTTTAAGCAGCTGCATGCTCGAGTTGATTCGAGCGCACTAAATCGGCCGATTTCTGCACGCTCGAATTAACTCGAACGGCGTATTATTTTATTTTTTCTATGATTTAAAAAAAAAAAAATAAGAATTTGAAAGCGAAGAAAAAAGAATCGTTTTTTTTTCGAAAAATGTTTTTTCTGAAATTAGTAATTCGAAAAGAAAGATCAACAAGTCAACGTAAGTACGTGTAACATTGCAATATTTGGCTCTTCTCCGTAATGTTGAACAAAATTCTAAATTAAACATAAAAAATATTAATTATTTCTGTATCTTTCTCATTCTGTTTGTCAAAACAATGTTCTTAACTATGTCTTTATGCAAAAAAAAAAAAAAGGAAAAAAATGCTTTTTTTGGGGCCGTTTTTTTTTTCAAAATCGTTGCTGCTTTAAGTGGTGTTAAAGAAAACTTATTTTCTTATAATAATCGTTTTCAAATCATAGGAATTATTTACAAAAGCCAATTAGATAGGGGAGAGAAAAGAATCTTTAAAAAAAAAGATAATTTAAAAGGAACTTTTCAGTGTCACACGTAGAATCATAGATAAAAGAGAGAATCTCAGTGTTTAACCATGAATATCAAGAGAATTGGAATTATAATTGGATCCCGAAATTCTGACGGCTCGAAAATCTATTCGGTCATGTCCAATCCCATTCGATTTCCATTTTACTCTCTCTCTCTCTCTCTTTCTCTCTCTATCCCTCTTCCTCCACCCTTTTACCTTTCCCATCAAGCAATCGGCCTCGAAGGACCACCCCGTACCTGAGTTGCCTAGGTGTTGTACTACAGATTTGTATAACCTGATATCGAGGTCACGTTCAATGCAATTTCATGACAGATAGATATCTAACTAAAAGAATTTCAAATAATAATAATAATAATAATAATAATAATAATAATAATAGGACTTATTTTTGTATTGTTTTTTTTTTTATTTGTTTATCTTTCTCTCT